GGGCACATGTCCCCACTGCTCATACAAATGGAACAGCATGCATGTGTATGCTTACTGGCAGCTCACACACAAACAATCCCTCTTCCCCCCCCCCCACAACCGCCCATCACAAAGCTGGAAAGGTTGGGGAACTCTGCTATATATGAATTGGCACAATCAGACGTTGCCAGGATTCTCTTACAGCTTTTCTTTTTTGTCATGGCTTAACTGTTTATTATGCTTTTGGATTTCTGTAAGTCAGATATTGAGCAAAAACCAGGGTTTCCTTTATACAGTTAGAAATATGCTTAAATACTGACTCAGAGACCTCCTAGCATCTTGGCATTCATGATCAAACCAGGTATGGTGCATAGTTGTATGTTTCCTGGCAGTGAAGAATTGTGATGTTAATATTTATTGAAACAACTTAATTGTAGCTATCCAGCATAATATCGTCTGCTGGCTCTAATGCAGTCAATTTGACAATTATAACTTCTTGCAAGGAATCATTCAATGCAAGTGGGACAGAAATCATCCATTACAGTTGCATTACAACAAGGTGATAATTGCAAGCTTTCAAGTCTTCAAAAATAAAGTGCCCAGGAAGTGATTGCTTTTAAGACAATTGCTACAATAAACTTTGAAAAATGGGGGATTAAGTTCTGCAATAGCCCAGAAAGATTATTTACACAATAAAATCAAGAAGGCCTATCCAAGGATTACTTGGACAGTTTTCCTTATTGCATTACTAAAATAGGACTCTATTTTCTTTAATACTGTGAGTCATGATCTATTTTCTAGTTTTAGGTTTTTAACCGTCAAAATATTAATATATAGAAACTTTGAAAAGCAGATTTAAGGACTAGTTCTTACACACAGAAATGTAAAGCTGACTTTGAGTCTTGGTGACTTAATCCATGCAATTTTCATTGCAGTGTTTGTTACAGAATAAGTTCACTACTGCCTTCTTCCAGATTTTTTTTACTCTCTATTCAACAGCTCTGGAATTAGCAAGTGGTCTCCCATTAGAACAGGAATAGAATAGAATGGAATGGAATAAGAATGGAATAGGAATAGAATATTTTATTTGGCCAAGTGTGATTAGACACACAAGGAATTTGTCTCTGGTGCAGAAGCTCTCAGTGTACATGCAAAGCAAAAGTCATCGTCATCATCATCATCACAATAAGAGGGGGTAGTAAAGAAGATAAGTACCAACTGGATTTGACCTTGCTTAGATTCAGAGAACAGTTAAGATCAACTAGATGCTGCCATATGCTAAACTGATTAAACACCTAAATTTGCCCATAAGAAATCTGTATCTAGAAGAAAAATTGGTTATATAATATTAATATTTAGACCCTGAAAACAAACAGAAAGTAGAGTTGAAAGTGTCACACACAATCTATTATAAAGAACATAAACTTGTCAAGTTAATTATAATTTAATAGCTGACCGGCAGAAGTGATGTTTGGAGAATAGGTCAGCAGAGTATTTTGGGGGTAGTATCCCTTTAAGAGACTGTGTCTGAGGGGAATGGCAGTTGGAATCTTTAGCTCACTTGAACCATTTGTACATAACTGACTGCCTTGTATTCTGTATGCTCTCTCTGAATGTTGTTGTTTCATGTTGTATATTAAACCACAGTTCTTTTGATAAACCACTGTCAGATGTTTGTGATCCTGTGTTGTCACAAGAAGAAAAAAAGAAAAAGGCTGCGATAATTTATATTTTAAACAACAGGTTATGGGCCCAGTTTGAAGAAAAGCCCAAAATGAAGAAAAACCCAGAGTGAAGGAAAGCCAAGAGAAAACAAATGAGAATCTGACCAGAGTCAGAGGAACTGGGCATTGTGTTTTTGAGTATGGTTTGCGGCGATACAAGGTAAAAGTCAAAAAATGGCCTCTGTCGGTGTTATGGGAGGAGGCTTTGCGGTATCCCGGCTGAATGAAATGAACTATCTCTCCTGGAGTTTAAAAATGGCAATGTATCTAAGAAGAGAGGAGCTGTGGATAATAGTTACTAATCCTCCAATAGAACTGGATGAAGGGGACCAAGGAAAAATGAGAAGGCGTTAGGTAACATTATCCTGAGTTTGGAGGATAACCAATTGATACATGTAAGAGGTCTCCAATCTGCAAAAGAGTGCTGGGAGGCTTTGCGCAGTGTGTATGTAAGAGAGACTACAGGCAGCAAAGTAATGTTGACAAGGAGACTGTATAAAGCACAAGTTAAACAGGGAGAGAGCATGTCTAAGCATTTGCAGGACATGAGAAAAACATTCCTAGAATTAGAAGAAAGAGGAATGACCTTTACTAAGGCATACAAAGTTTATGTGGTGCTCAGTTCATTGGACAATTCATGGGACATTCTAGTAACAAGTTTAGAATCCATGAATGAACAGGATTTAACTATGAGATATTTAACTGGCTGGTTACTGGAGAAAGAACAGAAACAGTTGGATAGGTACCGAGGAAAGGAAGGAGAAAATGCCCAAACCAGACCTATGACAGCAACAAAAAAGAGGAGCTGAGACCGTCTGCACTGTAAAATGTTGCTATGCATGTGGTTCTACAAAACATCTCCAAAGATGCTGTCCAGAGAGGAAAAACAGAGGTACAGCAAGACAAGGATATAGAACTATGCAACCAACCAAAGATGGGACGTTATTTATTCTGGCAGCAATGAAGAAAAACATACTCAACAAGTGGCTACTAGATGCTGGGGCAAGCCAGCATATTGCAGCAAACCCACATGCATTTATTAGTTTAAGACCAACTAACCAGGATTTTGTCAGCCTGGCTAATGGACAACGGTCAGCAGTTAAAGGGGAAGGATATGTTTATGTACCTGAACTAGGGGTAACATTGAAAAAGTTGTTAAATGTGCCAAACATAGACCATAATTTATAAGTGTTGCATGTCTAGATAGCAAGGGATATGAAGTAATGTTTGCTAGAGGGAAATATACTATCAAGAAAGATGGGAGGATTTGAACAGAAGGATGTTTGTGCACGTACTCTGAAAAACACACCCACATATGATAACTATGTGTATCTAAAGCATAGGAGATTAGGTCATGCCAGCTTTAGAGTGTTACAGAAAATGCCAGAAATAGCAGAAGGGCTGAAAGTGAAGACTGTGATGCATACCTAGATTGGGCCATATGTAAGGAGTCAAAATCTAGGGTTTATCCTGTAAGTAAGAAAGACAAAATTTTACAATTAGTATACACTGACTTAATAGGTCCTATGGCACCATTTATTGGAGGAGCAAGGTATGCTCTGGTAATTGTAGCTGATTATACCAGATATGGATTTTGTTATTTATTTCAAACACAAAACAGAGGTATTACCACAATTTAAACAACGGGTGACATTTGTGGAACACAGATATGGCATAAAGTATGCCAAATGCAGACAGATAGGGGACCAGAATTTATGTCCGACTATTTTCAACACTGGCTTAGGAGTCTAGGTATTAGACACAGACAAACAAACCCATATACACCCGCTGAAAATGGAGTAGCTGAAAGGAGAAATGGCGTATTACAGACCATGAAGGACTCACTACTTGCAGATGCAGGCATAGGTAGAGGGTACTGGGGAGAAGCCATAAAAAGAGCTAACTATTTAATAAATAGATTATAGAGTTCTGCTTTGAACAAAACTCCATGTTTTTTGTTATACGGCAAGAAACCCTCATTGGCTCACCTAAGAACTTTGGTAGTTATGCCTGGGTCCATAATCCTAAGAGCACTAGAAGGAAGGAACAGAAAAAGACCAGAAAACTGAAGTTTATAGGATATGAGCCAGAATCCAAGGGATATAGGTTTACTGATGGAGCTCAGAAAGTTGTGATTTCACATTCTGCCAGCTTTGCAGAACATAGTAATTGGGATAGGGTACATGCCAACAAAGAAGCGTTTATTCTGTCACATAGTAATAGATCTCAGGGAGGAGAAGCTACAGAAGGCCCATCATCAGAGAAAATAGGTAGCAGATTAGAAACTGTAAACATAAAGGAGACCCGACATGAAAAGTGAAGACGCAGAAGCACAGGAACAGGTGTTACCAAGGAGGTTGGAATGAAATAAAGGAGAGCCTCCTGACAGAGACAAGGCAAGTGAGGTTAGAGTATGTAGTTTGCATTATAAACCTTGCAATTACCAAGAGATGATTTCCTTACCGAAAACAGAATGAGAAAAATGGAAAGAAACCATGGATAGGGAAATGGAATCTATGGATATGCATCAAGCGTTCTCACCCATGAGATTACCAGAAAGAAAAAAGGCCACGGGATGTAAGTGGGTATATAAAAAGGTGTTACAAAATAATGAATTGTCATGTAAGAGAATCAGTAAAGAATAAACTAATAGAGTTAAAGCATTGTCCCTCTGAAAATAATTTGGTTGATATATTAACAAAGCCTTTGAGTTTAGACAAGTATCAAAATTGGGTAAAGGCGTTCAGATTAGCAGTCGTTCAGTCCTAAATGGGAGGAATGTCAAGGTAATTATAATTTAGTAGCTGACCGGCAGAAGTGATGTTTGGAGAATAAGTCAGCAGAGTATTTGGGGGGTAGTATCCCTTTAAGAGACTGTGTCTGAGGGGAATGGCAGTTGGAATCTTTAGCTCACTTGAACCATTTGTACATAACTGACTGCCTTGTATTCTGTATGCTCTCTCTGAATGTTGTTGTTTCATGTTGTATATTAAACCACAGTTCTTTTGATAAACCACTGTCAGATGTTTGTGATCCTGTGTTGTCACAAGAAGAAAGAAAAAAGCTGCAATAATTTATATTTTAAACAACAAAACTGACATGTTTTATTTTATACCTATAGCAAAATATAACTAATAATGCAATAGTAAGAATATAAAGGTTAATAGAATATAATAAATCATCTTGTACAGTCATAACAAAGGAATCTTGCTTGAACAAATAGTAGTGTACTTGAAACATCCCCAATAGGGGAAATCCAAAATAAAGTTTAAATTCACATCTCAAAAATAAACAAACCTTTGTTGCGAGTTGTGAAACAGAAGATGTTACTTCATCCTGAAGACATGAATCCTTGTTCTTAGTCTAAAAAAGAATAAATAACTATACATTTTAAGAGAGTTTAACAAATGTTTGTGATGAATAAGAAATAACAAGAATTGTTAATATTGAATAAAGATATTGGCATATAAATAATGTACTTGGACCATTTAGTTTCCTCTATTGTTTTATTAAAAACAGATCTATACTTTCCATGGCAAAACATAAAACATACATAAGAATATGCCACTTGAACAAAGAATGGAAGCACCCAAATAAACTTAGCAATATAAACCAAATTCTTCACTGAATTTTGATTACAAATATTTACTACTATACTAGCTGAACATATGAAGAAATGTATACCAGAAAGAATATATACAGAATATACTAGAGAGATTTCATTCCAGAAAGAAAGATGAAAAATAACAGACTTATCATAAATGTCCTAGAATTCATTAACATTATGGAAAAAGAAGGCAATAGTAATACTTCTAGACTTGGAAAAAGCCTTTTGACAATTTGGAATGGGTTGCTTTTACTAGAAGTCTTAAACAGAATTAATCCTGGAAAAGAATTTGAAACGTGTGGAGAACGCGTAGCCATGGCAAGCAGCAAAGATGAAATACTTTCCATAGGCTTTTCAATTAGCAAAGGTACAAGACAAGGGTGTCCATTATCCCCTTTACTTTTTGTGACTGCTCTGGAAGTCATGACCACAAGATATGAAAAGATAATAGATAATTGGAATGAACATTCAAGGAAAGAAACACAGTATAATATGAAATGCTATGCACTTGATGTAATACTAAAAATTATACAATATGATTATAAGCACAAAATTCTATAGTTGATGAAAGTAATAAAAGATTTGGTTGCTTTTCTGAATATAAAATCAAAGAAAAGAAAGATAGCAACAAGGTCTTTAACTTAAAAAGAAGAAAGTGTAGAAAAGAGACTGGCTGTGAGATAATAAAAGATCCAGTAAAATATTTAGGACTTTACTTGACAGAATGCAATAAAGTCCTATTTGAAATAATCACATCAATGATTTTTTACTTTAAATACAATTACAGTAAGAAAGATTTGAACATGTATGCCAATACAAAGTAGCTGTACTCAAGAAATAGATTGAAGACACTACTAGAATCGCTTAATGAAGAATAATGATAAGAATCAATCTGGCACAACATTGGAAAAGACAAACAGAATTGGTAAATTAAAATTGAATAAGGAGGCAATGGAAAAAAAAATCCCACAGCAAAAGTTTAAACAAATTGAAGCAGGAACAACTCCCTCATATACTGAATAGCTTATCACACAGCAAGGCAAGCTAAGATGCTTGGAATATAGTTTCTGAAGAAAAAGGATGAGTTGTTTTTTTAAAAAAATTATGAAAATGATCCAAATAGAAACAAATAATAATCATAGATGTCCAAAATATAGTATAAAAGTATTCAAGTAGCAATTTGCAACTAGGGAAGAAAGGGGGAGGAAGAAGAGAAAAGAGCTATCAGAATGCTTTTTAATGTAATTTTTTCTATCTTTGTTTCACCATTTTTATTTTTATTTTTTAAAAAATATAACCATCATTTCTGTATGTTCACACATTCTTTTCCTTTCTTTTTCTTTTTGTTACTGTTTCTTGTTTGGAGATTTAGAATGTTACTGACAAATAATCAAAATCATGTTCCCATATAATCTTTCCCAGGGATCAGCCGTTGCTGTTAAAAGCTCTTCCTGTCAGAGCTTGCTTTTTCCTATCCAGATAAGAGTTCCTAATATTGCCTTGCTTCTCATGATGGGCAGAAGGCTACCCATTTCACCTCTTACCAACCTTAGGATCATGACACAACAGCTCATTCTCAGCTGTTACCAGCTCTGTCTCTTCCACAACAACCACAATAATGGCAACAATTTGTCAAGATAGGTGGGAATATTACCAAACCACATCACTGTCCTTGGTCATTTTACTTATTTACAAATGACAAATGTTGTATGCCCATTGCAGTAATCTGTTTCATCCCACTAATAGATGTGTCATTCAAAACATAAAGTGAGCCACCCAGAGTTTGGTACAAGATGGGCAGTATATAAAGGTTTCAAGTAATTGATAATAAAATTAAAGGAATTAACAATTGCTCAATTATTTCAAAAATTTGATATCCTTATTTTCTGGCATTGTGTAGGTTTCATTACTATCAACTGCATGCTATTTTCAAATTTATTAAGTAGCATTGGAGATTTTATGACTGATATCTAGCCATCCAGCAACAATTCACATTTTTGAAAAACTAGCTTACAACATTAATGTACTTATCTATACATCAGAGAAAAAAGGTGCTATTGATAACCACTAGAGCTAAGATGTTTCAAACAAGATAAACTAGTTTTCAACCCATTTTTTTTTCAAATCTTCATAATTACCAAGTCAAAAGATATAAATCAAAGAATATTAAAGGAATACTTGCACATTCATTCTTTTGTTATAGTTTCAGAGTATGTAGTTTCCTGAATAAGATTAAACGAAATAAACTGCTCAGTGTCCCTTAGGTGAGATGGGTGGTGTAGAAATATGACAGATAGCCAGATATATAGATAAATGTTTTATGAACGGAACTGTGAAGTGGTTTGTATTTGTGGGCTTTGCGATAATTGAAGAATGTAAAGATAGAAATATAAAAAAGCACTATTGTACGTAGGCAGTCCTTGGCTTACAAGAGTTCATTTAGTGACCATTCAAAGTTATAATGACACTGAAAAAGGTGACTTATGGCTGTTGTTCACTTATGACCGTTGCAGTATCCCCATGGTCATGTGATCAAAATTTGGATGCTTGGCAACTAGTTCATATTTATGACGGTTACAATATCCTGGGTCATGCAACCTTCTGACAAGCAAAGTCAATGGGGAAGCCAGATTCACTTAACCTTATTACGGTACTAACTTCACAATTGCAGTGATTCACTTAATAATGGTGGCATGAAAGATCGTAAAATGGGGCAAAATTCACTTAACAACTGTCTCACTTAGCAACAGAAAGTATAAAATTCCAGCTGGGTGCCTGAGGTTTTCAACAATTTTCTTCACTCTCCAAGGGAATGAGGATCACATGGCCTACACTTCTGTAATGGTGTGGGTGACAGGTTTACAACTCTATTTAAAGTCTCATCTTTATCTGAGATTTGGGATACCAGAAGGAAGAGGGAGCGAAGATTTCTAAATAAGTGAAAACTGGCTGGCACAGGCCCAGATGGGCATCCATCCCTATGTCACCTAGTCATTTCAGATGCTGCAACTTATTCACTTTTTAGCGGATATGCCACCTCTGTATATGCAAAGGTACAGTGTGTGTGTGTGTGTGTGTGTGTGTGTGTGTATACACATACATACATACATACATACATACATACATACATATTGGTGTTGAATAAAAGTGTTAGCATTAGATCATATGGCTCATCTCTTTTTGGCAGATGAACATTTGTGGAAGAATCTGGTTAACCATGAATCTTGTCTATGATATGCTATTTGGCTTCTTGTTTTCTGTTTCACAAGCTTGGTATAACCAGACTACTTTGTTTTTTTATAAATATTTTATTAATTTTTCTAATTTTACAATCATAAGTACTTAATAAGCAATGTGTTGTCTGGATCTATTAGTAATTCAGTGGTACATATTAACTTTTTCAGTCTAGTCCAATACTACACCATCCAGTGCTTCCTTGGTCCTCTCTCTTCTTCTGGTGGTATGCATTTTTCCACACTGGGCAAATACAATTCTTGTTACTGTTAATACATATACAATTAAATATAGACATCTTCTTCACATTTTTCTGGTATTATACATAATATCAATAGTATCAATTTATAATATCTTTTCTAGCCAAAATATAGCTCAATTACATTTACACTTAAAATCCATTTATTGAATCAATATCCTATTTTTCCCGCTTTAAAAAATTTTTAATTTCCCATCAATGTTCATAATATCTTTTATCACTTATATTTTTTTCATAATAAATTATATTTGGGTAACTAAAAGCTTCCCTTATTCAAACCCTTTTGGAATTTTCATATTTCTCATCTCATAACAAAGTATCTAGTTACAAATCCTATCCTTCTAATTATAATACTTTTATTTCTAACAGTTATCTATTTTCTTAGCCATATTCAAACATCTATTTAGTAGTATAATATCCCATCTGATAGGTAAGATCCTCAATTTTCTTCAGTCTTACTCTAGCTTTCTTCCTTTGCCAAATAACTTTCCAAGTCAGTACATTTAAATCATCAAGTAGTTCTTCCTCTGTTTTTGTATATATTATTTGAAATGAGGAAAAGAATTTGGTTGAAGAATTTTTAGAAGAATACTCAACCCATTTATATTCATTAAACAGCCTCCATCCTTCTTCAGTTTTTTTTCATTTGTTTGTCAATATTCAGCATTTTTCCTAATAGCTTTATCATCCATTCGATCAGCCCTTCTTCCTTATCCTCAAATGTGTTCTGAATCTTGACAAGTATGATGTCTTTTCCGTTTCCGGTGTTATCATCGCATCTTCTAATTTTTCATTTGTCTGTGTCTGTTAATTCCTTCCTTAGGTCCTCCATCTTTGGATCCATTTCTTCTAATTTTCCTTCCATTTTCTGGGTTATTAGTTCCTTCTTTGAAGTCATTGTCTAGATTTGTAAGTTTAGGTTAGAAAATTGTTCTTCTATTTCATTTGCGTTATTTTTAGTCTCTTCCTGAAATAAAACAATTGTCTCTTGGATTGATTTCAACATGGAAAGAATTTCTTTCTAAGATTCATTAACATTTTCCTGTTGATATATCAAGCTGGGAGCTTTGGAGACATGTTTTGAAGATGATTTTTTACCATTTAAGGCTGAGTATGGAACACTCAATTTTGCTTTTGTATGTAGTCTTTGTAGTCCAGTAGGGTCCCCAACCTAGATAAGCAGCCCAAGAGTTTTCGTTTTTCCCTTTTCCCAGCTGTAGTCTGCAAAAATAAAAGTGTCCAGGAACAACAAAGAGTCTTATC